GCAGGATGTCAATGGACTCAGTCTTGTGCAGGCCTTGTGTGGATAATCACAACTGCTGTGACCTCAACTGTGTAGCAGCCCCGCCAGGCCCCAAAGCTGGCTTTCCCTGTCTCCAGCTCTTAAATTCTTTGTGCTCCTTCTCCCCTGATGTTGCTTGGGCCTTGGAGGGGGTCATATAGAGGTCCCGTTTCTTCTCTTCTTTATTTGAAATATTGTTTTGGCATTTGTGGAGGTCCTTTGAAGTTCTGCTTGAATTTTAGGATATGTTTGTTCATTTCTGCAAGAAGTGTCACGGGGATTTTGTGAGGGCCAGCCTTGAGCTGTGTGCCGATGTGCCAATTTAGCAAGATGGCGTCTTCTATCCATGAGCCGCGGGGGTCTCTGCGGGTGCCCTTCAGCTCCTGTAGCTTTCCTGGTGTTGTGAGCAAATACTGACAGGAAGCAACTCAGAAGAAAGGGTTTGGCCCCGTGTGGTGGCAAACACATTTAATCCCAGTGCTTAGGAGACAGAGGCAGGAGAATCTCTGAGGTTGAGGCCAGCCTAGTCGATATGGTGAATTCCAGGACAGCCCAGGCTACACAGTCTTTGTCTTGAAAAAACCAAACCAAACCAAACCAAAACAAAAAAGAAACAATTTAAGAAGGAAGGATTTGCCAGGTAGAGTTGGTGCATGCCTTTAATCCCAGTACTCCTGAGGCAGAGGCAGGTGGATCTCTGTGAGTCTACATGATAAGTTCCAAGAGAGGCTCCAAAGCTACAGAAAACCTGTCTTGAAAAGAAAAAGAGAAGAAGAAGAAGCAAGGAAGGATTTATTTCAGCTCACAGCTCACCGTTTGAGGGTGTAGCCCATGATTGTGAGGAAGGATGGCACAGGTGCAGCCTGTCACATGACATCCACAATCAGTCAGGAAACACACACACACACACACACACACACACACACACACACACACACACGAGAGAGAAAGAGAGAGAGAGAGAGAGAGAGAGAGAGAGAGAGAGAGAGAGAGAGAGAGAAACGCCGGGGCTCAGCTCATTTTCTGCTCTGTATTCAGTCCAGGACCCCTGCTCGTGGGGTGATGCTGCCCACATTTGGGGTGAGTCTTTCCACATCAGCTAACTCAGCTAAGAAAGCCCCTCACAGACATGGCTGGAGGTTTGTCTCCTATGTGGCTCTAGATCTTGTGAGGTTAACAATCTTGGAAGGAAATTCTCTCCCCTCCATCTGTCTCTCCCCACACTGTGTGTGCTCACAAGGGTGGATGATATATATGTGTCTATGTGGAGACCATTCTACCTTATTTATCTTTCGAGGCAGTCTCTGACTGATGACCGTGGAACTTATCACTGAGGCTAGGTTGGCCACTCATGGAGCTCACAATCCTCCTGCCTTCTGTATCCCAGCGGGGAGTTGCAGGCACACAAGAGAATGCTAGATGATTCAAACTCAAACTTAGACAGGTACTGGGCAATCCCCTCCCCCAAATCTTGGAAGACAACTATCAAAAAAACAGGAAGTCTAGACTTGTAGTCCCAGGATTTAGGATCTAGGGGCAGGAAGATCAAGGGTTCAAAGTCATCTTTGGCTACTTACAGAGCCAGCCTATACTACACAGGAGACCCTTTCTCAAAGCAAAGCAACTAAGACTCTTTTGAAACTTCAAACTCACATGGTCAAATTTGAGATCCATGGGAAAGAGCTGTTTCTCATATAGATAGAAGAGTGGTTGCCGGGCGGTGGTGGCGCACGCCTTTAGTCCCAGCACTTGGGAGGCAGAGGCAGGCAGATCTCCGTGAGTTTGAAGCAAGCCTGGTCTACAAGAGCTAGTTCCAGGACAAGCTCCAAAATTACAGAGAAACCCTGTCTCAAAAAACAAAACAAAACAAAACAAGCAAGCAAACAAACAAAACCCCACAAAACAAAACAAAACAAAAAAACAACGAAAAAAGAAGAGTGGTTTTGTAAAAGCCACCATGTTAACTGGGGTTAATTCAGGCATCTGTCCAGTGTCCTTTGGACATGTAGATGCCAAGGAAGAGAATAAGAAGTATTTCTGAGCCATGTCCTGACCTGCCCCCCCCCCCCCGTCTCCTAGTGGCTACCCCTGTGGGCTACTGAAAGATGCTTCCGTTTGGAGACAGCTGCTCAGAATGGCCCTCTGTGGTCCCATCCTATTTCAGTGTCTTCTCCCAGCCCCTGAGCACATCTTAGGGCTTTCCTGATTCCTGTGTGGTGAGTTATTCTCTTCAACAACACAAGGTGGCAGAAAGCACAACCACAGCAAGAACGGGAGCACCACAGTGAAGGAAGAAGAGACCCAGGAAGAGGGGAGAGGAACATGAGGTACGGGGAGACTGTAGCTCCCCGGCGACAGTGTGCCTGTCCTTGGTGGGTCTCAGCATCCTGTCTGAGACAGCCCTTTGGATGACAGGAGTGTTTCACCCAGAATGCCACCCAGAGCAAGAAGGAGGGCTCCTCAGGCAGCTCTGGGTCACAGTGGGGTCCTCCACTGGACCAACAAAATCAGCTGAGTCGTTGAAGGTTGCTATAGAGACAGATGAGAAACTGTGGTGCTGAGGTGATGAGAGGCTGGGTTCAAGTCCCAGCCTAGCCACGTCCTTGATGGTTGACCTTGACTTCGGGCCCCAGCTCTCCAGGCCTCAGTTTACTTTTACGTTCAATAACAATTGAATCAAATGACCCATCATTCTTCAATCCCCTGCCCCTGGAGCCCCCCGGAAGCCTCAGCTTCCCAGAATGGGAATAGTAAAGGTGGGAGGGGCTGCGAGGCACAGAGAAGTGCAGAACGAGATGGAGTGTTCTAGGATGGGTGGGAATGTCTCCCAGGCTGCAGCATGGGCGTTCTGGGGTGTGAGGAGCAAGCAATGCTTTCGTTTTATTTTAGTTGGTGGAGTTTTGTTTAAATTCTATTTCAATTTTGGGGAGTGTGCTTCTCTCCCACTTATGAGGATCCCCAGAGACTGGTACTCTCTCAGATATGTGTTGTTCTGCCTGTGCGACCCTCAGGGCCCCCCTCCAGGAGGTCCTCAGCTACATGTCCAGCCCAGCCCCTGGGATTCCCAGCTGCCTCCTTGTTTCAGCTGGAGACTCTTGCTATGGTCCAGCCTGTGTGTGCTCGTCCTGCTGGCGTACCTCTTGGGGGGCTGTCTCAGAGCTGCACTGCATTACCCCAGGAACCATAGACTGCCCACCCCTTACTTTCTTCCAGATGAGTTTTGCTGACCCCTCAAAGTCTTGTCCTTGTCTCCCCCGAGACTCTGAAAAGCTCCACATGAGGGCTTGAAGTTGAACAAAGGAGGAACTAGAAGAAAGAGGGCCAATCCCATGCATTACTATTTCAAGTAGAGAAAGAGCAGGATGGGGTGGCACACACACATGCACACACGGATGTGTACAGAGAGCAGGATGGGGAGGCACACACATATGCACACATGAATCTGTACGGGGGTGGGGGGGGAGAGAGAGAGAGAGAGAGAGAGAGAGAGAGAGCGCAAAGGAGTCAGTTCTCCTCTCTGTTCTCTGCTCCCTCCTCTCAGGTGTCTTCTGGATCCCAGAGAACAGGACGAAGACATCATCTCATCCAGACTTGGCCTGCCCATGCGACTGTGCTGAGAATCCTGAAAGCCCAACTCACCCAGCTCCTGGGGTATTCCTGCGGTATTCCTGCGATATTCCTTTGACTCTGCCCATAAGAATAGTCATGACCAGCTTTGAGGCTCCTAGGGTACCTTCAGTTTTCCTTTGCCAAAATCCCACAGGAACGGGACAAGGGCATTTTCATTCTCTCCCACTCCCCCTCTGCCCCGTCCCTGGCACGCTGATTTCCCCTTCGAACACCAATGAAAGAGGCAGAGCTGCCAACCCTTAAATGCTGATCTTGGATGGTTCTGCGCGGTCTTGAGGGGCTGGTAGACTACAGAGGAGTAAAGGGACTGATGCCTACGAAATGGGTCCCGGGGGCAAGCTTAACCAGGGTGCGTGCACATAGGCATGGTGTAGCATGAACGTGGAAGTTTGAAGTTGGATCTTTCCTTCCACAGTGTTAGGCTCTAGGGGTCAAACTCAGGTCAAGAGCCTTGGTGGCAAGCCCCTTCACAAGCCAGGCCATCTTACTGACCCCACTCTATTTTTCTGAGACAAGGTCTTTCATTGAATGCGGAGCTTGTTATTTTGGCTGGGCTGGCTGGCTACAGTTCTTGAGCGCCTCCTGTCTCCTCCCTCCAGCTCTCAGGTAGCAGGCATGCCGCCACACCCTGCATTTATGTAGGTGTTGGGTCCTTGTGTTTGTGCAGCAAGCAGTTAACCTACTGAGCTATTGTCACAGCCCCTTCTTTTGTTTCTTGTACCCAAAACAATTCTGTCAAATTCACAAGAACACACGGTTTATGCTGTGGGCTACATGCCAGGACTGACCGTCTCTCTCCTAGTTTTTATCTTTTGTTGTTTGAGTGCAATGGAGCCTAGGGCCCACCTCCAACAGCAATAACCCCATCCCATTGATGTGACCCAGGCTATAGTGTCCCCATCAGCATTGCATCTAATGAGTTCATGCAGCAACAGCTACTCCTGGATCATTACATCACCAGAGCTTCCAAAATGGTGATGATTCTGACTTTGTATTCCAGCACTGACTGAATCAAATCTTCCTGAAAATCATTAATAACAATACATTTTCCTCATTAGTTATCTTGACATGATTGCACAGGTGGGCCCGGTTTTAATTGCTTCTTGTTCATAATCATCAATGGCCAATTTTCTGAGAAAGTGATGGCATGTTCCCCGGTCACTGTGAATTCTCTCTGATTCTGCTCGCCATGACTTTAACTTACCTACAAGATGTTAAAAGGACATTGTCGGGAGAGAATGAGTTCCCTTTGTCCCCTCTGAGTCTCTCACTGTGTTCCTTGCAGGTCTGTATTTCTGTGTGTTGCACACATGACCCCCTTCTGGGTTCACAGTTTATCAGAATAGCTCGAGGAGGGAAGAAAGGATGCACCCAAGGTCACTGTTTATTACAAAGCATAGAAATGATTAGCCAATGTGATATGTAGTGTAGAAGTCCAGGGAGTTGATAGACCCAGAAGCATCTGTCCCCACGGAGGCATGACGTTACCTTTCTAGACCCAGAAGCATCTGTCCCCACGGAGGCATGACGTTACCTTTCTTGATACAATGGGATGTTTATTGATGGGACAACTTCTAGAACCTTCTTATCCAGAGACGTTGACGGGGTCTCAACACTTAGGGGTGCCTGGTCCCATCATTGGTCATAGGATTGAACTCTGGTGCTACCCCTTCCCTGCCGAGGGCACCATGTCTCATATTCTGGCCCTCTAATCACTTGCCTGGGGTTCCTGCCTGGGCAAGCCCCTCCCTTGAAACTCTCTCAGGGCCCAACTTGAGTCACCTCAGCTTACATCCAGAGATGACGAAGGAGTCCTATAGCAATAAACTCCCTAGGTGCTGCGGTTCTATGATGAGATGTGGTACAGGGGCCGGCAGCATGTCAGAGCCAGGGAGAGAAGGGACAACCTTGCATGAGGATGCATGGGGCTAAGCCCTTATGTACCAATATAGTTGAAATGCTGGGGTGAGGGCCCTGGGCAGCCAAGAAGGTAAGGGCAGCTCTCAAGGCTAAGACAGGAGGTATCAACCACCCTTGGTGTGAAGCTTTGTATAGAACTACCCTCTGAGACAAACTACCGCCATCTTCAGGAGTTGACCTGAGCCAGCTAGTCCTAGAACATCGCAGCTGGGCCTGATGACTGTTCTTCCCCCTTGGAAGAGGGATGTGGGAAGGTTAAGGACGCTTACTTGAGAATTCAGCAACCAGTTACAACCATCTGTATGCTGCTCTGCCCTATTTACACGTGGTCTCTGGGAGGGGTTAGAGGATATAAGGGGAAAGATGGGGGGACAGGGTGCCCTCTAGGCAGCCCTCTAGAAGCCACCGTTCATGGTGGGTGAGGACATTCCAGTACAGATGAGTTAGAGTCACCTCAGCCCCGCCTGTGACCCCTCACCCACATGCTGCAGGTAAGCCCAATGAACTCCTTGGTTCCTCAGACCTTGGTTTGTTCCGGGACCTTAGGAGGAGGGGTACATGTTGTTTACATTTCCCCAAGAGAAGGGGTTTTAACAGCAGGGGTGGAGGGAGAGGGTTGGCTGGCTGCTGGGCTGGACACCTCTGCTTCCACACAGGCAGGAAAGGCCTGTGGATGGAGGGAAGAGCTCAGTAAAGATGCAGCGAGAGTCTGAGAGCTAACTGGTACTGTTGGAAATGAAGGGCAAGGGAGGGGCTCTACCTTGGTGACACAGGGTGAGTCCAGAGCTGAAGAGAGGCGTGTAGAGAAGGAAACAGGGAAAAAACATATAGAATGGGAACACAGTACGCTGCTTGGGGGCAAGCATCTCTGAAGGTCACTTGCACAGAGGGGTGTCCATATTGTGAGACCCTGGGGTGGGGTGGGGGAGCAGATCCAAAGTCTTGATTTCAAGCAGAGTCGTCTGGGAGTGCAGGAGAGAGGTGGGGACCAGCCAGGGAGGTCTGGACCTGCTCCCTTCTGTAACATGGCTTGAGTCTTTAAATCAATGGTCAGTTGACTCTAGAGGCTTCATCTAGCATTTTCATCCCAGAGATGGACTCCAACTCTGATACCCACAGTGGGGTAGATATGAGCTCCACAGCTTCCTGGGGTCTGTACTACCTGGGGAGAAAAAGACAGGTGGGGTGGGGGCTTAAAGAAGGGTGTGGTGGCAGACGCCTTTAATCCCAGCACAGGCAGGTGAATCTCTGTGAGTTCGAGGCCAGCCTTGTCTGCAGAGTGAGTTCCAGATCATTCAGGACCACACAGTGAGAACCTGTCTCCAGAAAAGAATCTGGAAAAGCTATTTGGGAAACACAACAACAAAACTCTCTCTCACCAGAAGACACAACACAATGTCTCAGGTTCCAACTGGGAAGTACATAGGGAGTCTGGGGACAGTGTTCAGCATCTCACAATGCACAATACAACCTTCTCACCTTGTCCCCGGAAGTCAACAGTGTCAAGGAGGCACAGAAGGAAGAATGGAGTGTGCCTGCCTGTGGGAGGGTAGTCTAGAAGGCTGTGTCTGGTGTATCTTGGGTGGAGGGGGAGGGAATTCCAACCTTCGACAGTACAATTTGATCCCTAGCTTGGTAGCCACTTTCAAAGCTACAGGTGATCATGTGACAATTCTAGGGTTTTGTTTGTTTGTTTGTTTGTTTTTGTTTTTTTGAGACAGGGTTTCTCTGTAACTTTGGAGCCTGTCCTAGAGCTAGCTCTTGTAGACCAGGCTGGCCTCAAATGACAAGTCTAGGTTTTTAAAAGTGTGAAAATTCATCAACGAAGCGTTTAATCTAATCTACTTACTATGTGCCCTCTTTTCTTCTGTTTTTTTTTTCTCTCTCTCTGTATTGCATGCACGTGTATGCATGTTTACATGTGTATACATGCAAATGTCATTTGTATGCATGTTTTTATGTGTGTACATGTGTATATCTATGTGTATAAGGCCCCGGGATGCTGTGAGGACTCATCCTTTGTCACTATTCCACCTCATTTATTGAGGCAGGCTCTATCAATCAAACCCAGAGCTAGCTGATAGGGTTAGCTTTGCTAGCTGGCTTGCTCTGGGGATTCTGTTGACTCAGCCTTCCAAGGTTGGAATCATAAGGAGGCTGCTACACCCACCCTGCATTTATGTGGGTTCTGGGGAAATGAACTCTGCTGAATCACTTCCTCTGATGTCCCCATCCTTCCCCTTCTCCGTGCCTCACGATCCCAACTCTCAGTTATCTGGGTCTTTAGGTACGCTGAGCAGGGCGGATGACTGACTGAAAGAACTCCTGGAGTCCAGTTTTTGGTTCTTTTGGGGGCTCAGTAATTCCAAATCACTATAGCAAGAAAGCCCTCTGATTGGATTTGTGACAGAACCACCCACTTTCTTCAGGGCACTCTTACTGGCACTTTCCACGGCTGCACTCTCTGCCCTAAGTCTCCACTTTGCAGTTCAAAACAGAGGGAGGAGAGCCACTCATTTGCTTCTTTAGCCAGAAGATGCCAATGCCAGCGGTCACCTCCTCCCACGTCGCCTGTGGGATCAGCTGGATCCAGGATTACTGGTCTAAAGGAGAGTTGAGAGTTAGAGACTAGGAAAGGACGGTTTGTTTACAAGACCACTGGCTCTATTCCCATCAAAGACACAATGTAGCCTGGCAGCCTAGGTCAAGCAATTTGAATCTACTTAAGAGTCAAAGTAACTTCCTTGAATTGTTGTAGTTGAAAGCCAAAAACCCTTCTGAAAGCTGTTGTTTACACCGCACAGTGAACTGTAGTGATGACCCCTTTCAAGAGACTCTCACCCAACCACAAGATGTCACAGTACAGCATTGCTAAGTTGGTCAGCACTGGCGTGTGTGCATGCGCACTTGAGCCTGGAAATGGCAATGCTGTTTCTCAGGGACATCCTGCCACCTCAGACCCCTCTAAGATCTGCTAATGCATACATTTCATGTTTCCACATAACAGAAGAAAGAAAGCAGTGATGGTGCCCTCTGCCTGCTCCCCTCCCCCGCTTCTGAGTCCCTTCTGGCTGGCCAGCCCTTCCCACTCCCGAGGTTGGGTTTTCCCCCTGGAGTCACTCATCTGGCAGCTTCTCCCTCAGTTTCACACTGGGAATGAACAAGACCCTGGGGAGAAGAATCCAGGTCATGGAAGAAATAGCACAGAAGGGAATCAGGTTAATTCAGAACAGGGTGGGGGACTGGGGCACAGGCACCTCTTTTTCTGGATCTGGGTCAGTAGGAACGTCCTTATCGGCTCATCTTCGAAGTTGTAGTTGACTGTCCAGAAGATGCAGAGCTGCTGGTATTTGATGACCAGGTCCAGGACTGTCCGGAAGCCTTCAGCAATGTTGAAATCATTCATGCCGCTGCCCTGCTCCCAGGCGTACACCGTGAGAAGCTCCAGGGCGTACTTTGGGGGCAACGATGCTTTTGGCTTCATTTTCCTTTCACACTGATGGGAAGAGTGGAGATGTCAGGTGACCTTGGTGAGGCAGAGGGGCCCAGTGTGTCTCATGGACTACTTGGGTTGTAGCCGGGCAACAGGGTTATGAAACAGAACTTGAAAGAGGAAGCCCCTGAGTCCTAGGCAGGCTTGCTAGACTCAGCAGCAGGCAGAGTGGCACACATGGTGTCCTGTTTTTGGACAGCAATGTAACTCCTGGCTGATAGGACCCTCTGCAGGCTAGCTATGAGCCCTGTACCATGGATTGCCATGTCAGAGGAAGACTGGCTGTGGGATGGGGAGGTAGGTGGACTAGTGGGGGGGGGAGGGGTGGTGCTTGAGGGAGTCACGTGACTTGCTGAAATTCAAATCAGAACTCCCCAGTCCCCTAGGCCTCAGCCACTCATGATGATTTGAGTCTCAGCCACAGCTTCCTGTTGCCTTTTGAGAGACAACATGGTGTCCATACAGCTGTACTGGTAACCTGTGGCATGCAACTTTAACTTCCATCCATGCTTCTCAGGAGAACTTGGCTGCCCCTGAATTCTTTGACCAGTGTGAGGTCAGAACAAGCTCTGATGTTAGGAGGCTCTTTAGGCCTGACCTAATACACAAGTAGCAGAATGCAATCAGAAGACCCACGGCTAAACAAGCAACAGCTTCCCTACAGAGGCCCAGCACCGAGCACGGGAGGATTTGGGGGGTTCAGGACAGTTGGCAAAGCTTATCTTAGCTTGCTGGTAAAACAGCAACTGCATTGGCCAAAGCAGGGTCTGGCTGACCTGTTTATACCAGTGCTTGACTAAGCGAATCAGGCTCTTCAGTTTGGTGGGTCGGGGTTTAATGAACTCGCGCTGTAGCTCTGTAAAACACATGGAAAACTCTCCCCCTTGATGCCTGATGATTTACATAACGCAATGAGCTCCTTGTAGGCTTCGGGATTGGAGGTGAAGCCAGGATGCCGCTGACCTGACATGGGAGAAGAGTGTATGTTAGTCCTATTGTATATGGTAAGTAACAGAGGAAAAAAAACAATCTTTTTCGAGACAGGATTTCAGGTAGCCAAGGTTGGCATTGAACTTGCTATGTAGCCAAAGTTGATCTTGAATTTCTGATCCTCCTGACTCCACCTTCCGACTGCTGAGATCACAGGTGAGTAATCCCATGCCCAGTGTATGGGAGTTGAACCCAGGTTTTGGGCATGTTAGACAAACTCTCTACAGATTTCAATACTGTGGTTTTTCAAAAAACTTTATTATTTATTCATTTATGTGGTTTTCCCAGACAGGGTTTCTCTGTGTAGCCATGGCTGTTCTGGAACTCACTTTGTAGACCAGGTTGGCCTTGAGCTCACAGAGATCCACCTGTCTCTGCTTCCTGAGTGCTGGGATTAAAGGTGTGTGCCATCAACGCCTGGCCCAAAAACTTTATTTTTATTTGTATGGGTGTGATGTGTTCACACACATGCACATGTGAGAGGCTGTAGGGGCCAGAAGAAGGAACCAGGTACCCTGGAGCTGGAGTTACAAGGTGTGAGCCACTGGACTCTAGTGCTGGGAACCAAACTTGGGTCCTCTGAAAGAGCAGCAAGCCCCCCTTAGCCAATGAACCCATCATATATATATATATGTATATATATATATACATACACACATATATATCCTATATATAATATATATATATTTTGACAAGTGCAATTTCATTCTGGGGGGGGATTTCCTTTGAACCATGTATATATATTTGAATTACTGATGGGTATCCAAGATGCAGACAGTAATGACTCCATGATCTGGTGGGTGCTGGTAATTTCACAGTAGGACACACACCTGTGGTACCCACTAGGGCAGCCACCAGCGACTGTGGCTGATTATATTTGAGATAATTAATAGGAAAAGAGACAAAATTTCAGCTCTTTGGTAGCTCCAGCCCCACCTCAAGCTCTCAGTGGATTCAGAACACAGGTCTAGATGTTTCTCAGTGTTGGAGAAAGACCTTCCTGTCTGTTCTGAGCTCATTCACACACTGCCATTGCTGAGGTATCTTTAGTCCACCTCCCATTTTTGTCAATACAGTTTCACTGGGACCGAGTTGTCCCTGTTTGTAAATCTATCACCCAAGGCTGTTTTCAGATTGAAATGGCAAAGTCAAGTAGTGGGAAAACTGTGGCCTCCTAGGCTGAAAACATTTGCTGTGTTGCTATACAGGTGAGTTTTCTGTCAACTTGACACAAAGCTAGGCACACCTGAGAAGACAGAGTCTCAACCGAGGAGCTGCCTCCACCAGACTGGCCTATGGCCTCATCTGTGGGGGCTTTTTCTCCATCGATAAATGATGTGGAAGGGCCCCGCCTTCTGGGGGTCCTGAGTTTTATAAGAAAGCAGGCTGAGCAAACTAGAGGGAGCAAGCCAGTGAGTGAGCAGTGTTCCTCCATGGCCTCCGCTTCAGTTCCTGCCACCAGGTTCCAGCCCTGACTTCCCTCCGTGACTCACACAACTGTGAGAGGAACTAAATCCTTTCTTCCCTAAGACGATTTGGTCAGTGGTTGTATTTTTTGTTTGTTTGTTTGTTTTGTGACAGGGTTTCTCTGTGTAGCTCTGACTGGCCTCGAACTCACAGAGATCCGCCTGCCTCTGCCTCCCGAGTGCTGGGATTAAAGGTGTGTGCCACCATCGCCCAGTTTGGCCAGTGTTTATCACAGTAACAGGAGGCAGACTGGCACAGCTGCTATTTCAAGAGCAAACAGACAAACAGACAAAAGTGGGCTGAAGCCCATTCTATAGACTCCTGTCTCTTTTCTGAGAGAAATCAAAACAGCTGGTTTTTGTTTGCAGTTGGGGAGAGATGTGTCAAACCCAGGATCCTCATGCTAGGCAAGTACTCTGCCTCTGAGCTCCAGCCCCAAACAATGGGTAAGAGCTTTGTTGGCTTTACCTTGGGGTGGTGACATTGAACACAGAGCCTTGTACATGCTAAGCAAATGTTTTACCCTGATTACCCCTGGGCCCCAAGAACCTCTCACGTGGAAGATATTATAGTCTTCATAATTCTAATATAGGAAATACACACACACACACAGTAGCTTGGCCTCTGTATGTGCATGGGTGTGAGAATGTGTGTGTGTGTGTGTGTGTGTGTGTGTGAGAGAGAGAGAGAGAGAGAGAGAGAGGACACATGAAGCAGCCTAGAGTCAATCTGAGAAGTTGATTTTGATGCAGGGCCCAGCCCACTGTAGGCGGCACCATTCTCTTGACTCATTAAGAGCTAGCTAAGATAAACCTATAAGTGAGGCAGCAAGCAGCATTCCCCCGTGGTTTCTGCTTCAAGTTCCTTCCTTGAGTTTCTGCCCTGACTTCCCTCCGTGATGGCCCTCCATGATGGACTGAGATCTGGACGTGTAAGCCAAACAAACCCTTTTTCCTCTACGTTGCTTTGTGAATGTGGGTGCATGTGCCTGTCTGCGCACACCCATGAGAGGCCAAAGGAGGATGCTGGCCGTCTCGACGCATCATCCTTCACCTTATCCCACTGTGATGGGGTCTCCTCCTGAACTTCAATCTGATTCAGCTAGACCCTTTCTCTCTCCACCCGCACCCCCTCCACAGGCAGTACTGGGGTGACCAGTGTGCCTCCAATAGAGCCTGGCTTTTTATACAGGTGCTGGGGATAAAACTCAGGTCCCCATGACTGAATGGCAAACACTCTTACCGCGGATCCACCTCCCCAGCCTACTTTGAGATCTTTCATTTGTCCATATATTTCTGTATCTCTCACCTGTGAATGGGCTTTCTGAGGAGGAGTTTTCTTCCCCCAATTTCCTGTCTCTTACCTCACAAATCCCCCCACATTCTGTTCTTTAGTTCCCTTCTCCACAGAGGAAATGAAGGGATGTTATCTATGATCTGTTTGTAACTGTATGTGCCATCCCTCACACGCCGTGGAGAACAGAGCCAGCAGCTCCTTGAGGCTGCTTACATGAGAGTGGAATTGCATGTAGGTGTCGGGGGCCTGGGCAAGAACTGGGAGAGAATTACCCAACCCTCCCTGGCTTTTCCTCCATGTTTTCCAGAATCTTCTCAGGAGCTAGGGTTTGTGGACTCCTACCTAGTGCATCATAGGCGGGCAGGACATCAAAGTCAACACTTTCGTTGAGACTCCTGGATTTCAAGGTGAAGCTCAGCACCCTGGGGGCCGTCCACTCTGAAATCTCAAACTTCACCTCCAGCTCCTGGGTCTTTCGGAAGACTTCTAATTGCCTCTGGATTTCCTGGACAAACAATGCACGCTCCTTGTTTTGGGAGTCGTAACTCTTCAGGGGGCTGAGAAACACTACGATATCAGCATCCGATCCATTCTTCAGAGCCGTGCCTTTGGCAGTGGATCCTCCCTAGGGAGGAAAGAGAAGGTGAGATGCTGCCTCCCCTCACCCTTGTCTCCCTGGCTCCCAAGAGCTGGCACAGTGACAGGCCAGCGCTCACCTTGACGGCCTTCAGCACTTTGGTGCTTGAGTCCTTGAAGCAGTTGTTTTTGAGGAATTCACAGATGATGTTAACAGCTTTTCTGATCTGCTCCAAGAACTTTTCATTGGGCTGGAGGAAGTCTTTGATGAACGTGTCCAGTAAATGGCTTGGGGTGATGAAGAGTGATGTGGGCTAGGGAGGAAAGAGATTTGGTGGGCTCTGCTCAGAAGCCACCCCAAAACTCACCTCTCTCCTCCTGCTAGCCTGTTCCAACAGTGGGCAGAGACCTTCCTGTCAGAGACCTTCCTGTCTTACACACATATACTCTAAAAATGTTCTTGAGATTCGGGGCAATCCTTACCTCCTGTGGCCCACCCCCTCTCCAAGCAGAAACTTTCTTGGTTCCTCATGGGCTACTTGGGAGAGATCTAGATCCTTCTGAAGGGGCTGTGGGATGCAGACATGGGAGGCACCCTCGGACAGCATGAGGGGATCCCCAAAGACCTTCCAAGAGGCAGGTGTGAGGGTCAAACTTGGAAAAGTAGATGTGAGCTCAGACACAGGGAGGAGGGCCTGGAAGGTGGATAAGGACCTAGGGTACATAGGGTACCTAGAGTCAAGGAGCTTGAAAAGGGAACGAGGCCTCAAGGGTCTCCATCCCAGCTCTGAGAGACTGCATTTGGATTCCCACTGCTGTAATGATAAGGTTATAGATTTAGGGGGCACTTTTTAAACAGTGGGGAGGGAAGAAGAAGACAAGTCTAAGTGGATAAGTTTCCTGGAGAGCATTGGTAGAGAGCAGTGTAACTGTCTGGGAACAAGAGAGGGGACTTAGCTTTGCAGGCTAGCTGATCTTGGTCGGACACACCTAGATGTTGTGACCCTTGACCCCCTTGACAGTGGCAGCATACTCAATCCTTCTGCTCCTACAGCTCAGATGGTGTACAGGGTGTGCATGCGCACACGAGTGTACATGTGTCGTGTGCATGTGTGAGCGTGTATCATATGCAAGTGTACACACGGGAATGCACACATATGAGAGGCTATAGATGAATATTCAAGAATACAAATGTTTGCATGTGTGAGTATGCACATTATGTACACACATGAGTGCATGCAAACGTGAGTGTATGCAGTTGTGAGTGCTGATGTATGTTCACAAGTGTCAGCATTGTGCAGCGCCTGTGAGAGTGTGAGGTTCGTCTGTGAGTGTATATGTTTACATGTGAGTGTGTGTGTACATGTGATAAGCCTGAAACGCTCATTCCTGCTTGTGTGTTGGTTCCTGGGCTGTCAAGAGAGGGGTGACGTCATGGTCTGAAAGGACCGGCTAGTGTAGAGCACAGGGATCGGAAGGTGTGGTAGGGACTAGAGACGGCTCATGGGTTAAGTGTACTGTCTGTGGACCCAGGTTCAATTTCCAGCACCCGGGTGGTGGCTCACAGCTGTCTGTAACTCCAGCTCCAGGGGATCTGATACCCTTTTCTGGCCTCTGTGGGTATTATACACATAGAACACAACATATATTCAGGCAACACTTGTACACATTATATATATATACATATATATTTATATATATAGTGATCCTCTTACCTCTAGCTCTTGGGTGCTGGGATTAAAGGGGTGTGTCACCACTGCCTGACATTTAAAAAGTTTTTTTTAGGGTATAGGAGAGACATGAAAGCTGAACATATCATGTGCCTGTGTGTTAGAAGGGGGATCTACAGGGTGCTCTTGGAATGGCTGTCAGAATATGATGATGGTGTGTGTGTGTGTGTGTGTGTGTGTGTCTTATAATTTGACCACACTATGAACTTAAATTTGGTTTTGACCACAGACCAGTGGTTGCGGAAGTGAAGCACCCTCAAGAGACTCTGGTGACTTGCAGCCACCACCCTAGTGATGAAGCTGAGGGCGTGTGTGTGCGATGTCACCCAGCCAACAACGGCAAGTGCCAGAGTTCCTGCCTATGAAGCTCACACAGGCATTGTGCATCCCTTTTTGCAGAGACAGATGTTTGAAAACTCAGAAGTAAACCAAGGAGGTTGTCACAAGGAAGTAAAAGACCAGGCTGTGGTGAAAATGGAGGCCGGGGTGGGGAACATGGGAGCGATTGTGGAGTCCTTGGCATCTACCTGGGGAACGACCCCATTCACAGACTCTGCTTCCTTCTGTCTGTCCCACACTGTCAGAGTCTGGTAGCTCTGTAGATGGAGTGTGGCCCCTGCCTCCACACTTTGGGTAGAAGTTTGCCCCTCACCTGTTCTCACAGGTGGGGTGTGATTGGCACATCTGTCCCACTTCGAAGGCCAACAAGGCAGCCTTTGGACAGACTCAGCTGGTCTAGTTTGGGAATGCTCTTGATGCCCTCTTCCGACAGGCAGATAGATTACATCTGCGTCACTGCTGGCCCCACACCCAGGGGCCGGGCCTCAGGGTCTGCTTGGGAGTCACAGACGTGAGTTCTGCACACTTCTAGGAGGCTCAGCTCCTTGTCTGCCCCCAACTCCTGCCTCCTGATTTCACTCTTGCAGAAATAAACCCATCTCTTTTCTGGGGGAACCCTCCTTCTTTATAGCCCCCACTTTTCTACCTCACAGCCATCTTCGTGGCCTCTAAGGGTTGGTTGAGTTGTATCTCCCTAAGATATATCAGAATTTGGACCTGTTGTACCTCTGACCATGACCTAATAGGAAATGGACTTAGAGAAGCTGGTAGGAGAGGGTCACGAGGGTGAGCTCCAACTAAATATAACTATTATCCTTAGAGGAGTGGGGTCCCCAGTCAGACCCACATCAAGGAAAAGGAGCGAAGACAGAGCAGACATGTGACAGTGGAGGGAAAGACAGGGTGATGATGTCACAAGCCGAGCCAGAGATCAGAACTGTCCGGAGAGAGTCCACCCCTGCCCTATTCATTGTCTTTGAACCCCCAGCATCCAGAACAGTGGGGGAAATGAATTCTGTTGCTTTCAACCACACCGAGTGTGTGACATGTCACAGTAGTCACACAGGCAGCCACGACACACTCTCTCAAGTCAGCGTCAGGAGGACCCACTCTCCAGCGTGGAATCCTCTTACCAGAACATTCCAGCATTGTGCAGGTGACATATCATTCAGGCTGGGAGAGTACAGCCAGGCCTGAGCCGCCTCTGTCAGCAGCTCCCAGGAGCCGTCGTCTTTGCCCACATTATTGGTTGGGTCAGTTGGGTCTAAGATGACCGGTCTAGAAATTTTATCAGATTAAAAGAAATCAGGGCTGAGTTTAGTAGCACACATCTTTAATCTCAGTACTTGGGAGGCAGAAGCAGGTGGATCTCTGTGAGTTCGAGCTCAGCCTAGTCTACGTAGTGAGCTCCAGGCCAGTCAGGATTGTACAGTGAGATCCTGAGAGCCTGTCCCCCTCAGCCCACCCGCCCCTGCCCAGCAGCACCTGGGAAGATAGTTTAGAAACTAAGACTGCTTAGAACTCAGTCATAAGGACCAGGGTTCAGGACCCACGAACAACATGGGTGTCCCTGTACATGCCTTCAGTCCCACCTCTGAGGGGTAGAGACGTGGGTTTCTCTGGGGCTTGCTGACTTCCAGCCTAGTTGAGAAAGCCAGAGCCCAGAGTGAAGAAGAGAGCCCTGCTTCAGAATAATACACTGAGGACACCTATATCCTCTTCTGGTGCACAAACGCACAATTTTTTTTTTTCGAGACAGGGTTTCTCTGTAGCTTTGGGGCCTGTCCTGGAACTAGCTCTTGTAGACCAGGCTGGCCTTGAACTCGCAGAGATCCTCCTGCCTCTGCCTCTGGAGTGCTGGGATTAAAAGCATATACCACCTCCACCCAGCCAGACATACAAATTTTAATAAAGAATTTGGTCTAGGGAAACGGGTCAGTGGGTAAAATACCTGCCTCACAAAAAGGCCCTGAGTTGGGGACCCTCAAGACCCATGTAAGAACTAGATGCTGGTGTATTTGTAGTCCCAGCCCTGAAGAGGCAGAGGCAAGTGTGTCCTGGGGCTCGCTGGTGAGCCAGTCTAGCCTATTGGTGAACATCGGTGAGAGACCCTGACTCAACAGATAATGTGGAATGGCTGGAGAACCCCCTCAGAGGTTAAGAGCACTGACTTCTCTTGCAGAGGACCTGGGTTCAAGTCCCAGCACTCATGTAGTGACTCACAACGATCTGTAACTGCAGTTCCGGGGAGTCTGACATCCTCTCCTGGCCTTCATACGCACTGTGTGCACGGGGTTTACAGGTATACACACGGGGGGGGGGGAACACGCATACACATAAAAGAAGTGAACCTTTGACGATAAGCAGAGAGTGAAACCTGATGTTAACTTCTGACCTCCAAGTGCATCTGTACAGACACATGCCAGTGCGCGTGCGCTCACACACAGAAGGGAGAGGCTTCTGAGGGCTCTGCGGTACCCAGCCACACTGACTCCTCATCCTCCTCTTTCCAGAGATGTTCGATCTCACGGTTCTTGCTGTGAACTCCTCCCCTTCCTCCAGGCTTTGGGGGGCAAAGCCTGACCACGGTTTGGAATGTGGAAAGCATTGACTGAATCTCCTCTGCAGACAGATTCTCATCCCTGCTCCCCCATATCATCAAGGACTCAGAACTCACTCTCAATGGGGCCCTGGCCTGCGGCTGGAGAGATAGGAAGCTGGGTACCTTTGGGACCTGAGTTGGCACAGAAGAGTATTGCGAACTGTTACATCATCGAAGCCATAATTGACTATCCAGTAGACACACAGCTTTGACGACTGCTTGATGAGTCTCAGCACGGTTCTGACACCTTCTGCCATGTCAAAGTCCTCATCTTGGCAGCCCTGTTCCCAGGCATACACAGTGAGCAACTCCAGGGCGTAGGAGAACCGCTGAGATGGGGAAGTCATCCACTTCTCCTGGCACTGGGAGAGAAGACAAGACTGTCAGGAAGCTGGAGCCTAGACGATGTCTCTGTCCCCCGTGCCTGGAAGTCAAGGTGTCAGTACCATCAGACACTGATGAAGGGATGGAAGGAACACCTGGAATGCTCACACTTCTCACAGGGGTGTGAGTGTGTGACACAGTGTGTAAGCCTGGGCGGGTGTGAGTGTATGTGTATATGTGTTGTGAGTGTGTGTGACTGTGTGTTTGTGTGATTGTGAACGTGTGTATGTGCCCGTGCATGAGTGTGTGAGCATGAACACATGCTGTGTGAGTGTGGGTGCACGTGAATGTGTTTATGTGAATGTGTGTGAGTAAATATGTGAGCACAGAAGTGTGTGAGTGTAAACATGTATGTCAGTGTGTGCCTGCATGTGAGTATGAGTGTGTGTGAGGAGGCCAGAGGTCAAGGTCAGGTGTCTCCCTCAGTCACTCTCTACCTTATGTTTTGGAACAGGGCTACTCACTGAACCTGGGGCTCACTGATCGGGTGCAGTGATTGGCCAGTGAGCCCAGGGGATCCACCTGTGTCTGCCTCCTGAACACGGAGTTACAGACACAGGCTGCCACTCCTGGCTTTACACGGGTAGTGGGCTCTTCTGTGCCTGCACAGCTATACTTTCCTCACTGAAACTTCTCTCCAGTCCCAGTGGAGTTGTTTAAACAATCCACTTGGCACTCTTTATTAAAGCTAAATAAGTACGCTCCACTATATTTCATGCAGAGTCCACGTATGCAAATATAGACACACACGTACATACTGTCTGAGGCTGTGTCTGGGGCTCCAGCAATTCTACTGCAGGTCTACCCAAGAACAATGAGTGCTTAGGTTCACAAAAGACATATCAGAGGACACCCACAGTAACCCAAGTCACAGAGGTCACAACCTGGAAATGACCCAAGGGCCCGGCAGCAGCGGAGAGAAAAACACGGGTGTGTTACTATATTGGAACACACGAGGGAATGAAAACTACTGTTATGTAATGATGTGGCTGGATTTCTCAGACACGGAGTGAAATAAGATGCCACCTGTGTGCAGTGTGATCCATTTACAGTGTTGGAAAATAAGGGGGGGGCAAGATGAAGAGAGTTCCATCCCCAGGACCCACATAGTGGACGGAGAAAACTCATTTCTGTACGTTGTCCTCTGCCACACGTACACTATGGCACATCCCCCCCCATGCATGCACACACACTATTTCTCATGCACTTGTGCACACACACATGAACACACTCTCATACACACATGCATGTGCACTCACACACGTGTACACACATCACATTCTTTTAAATAAGATTCATCTGTGGTGATGGTTATTGGAATTTAAAAATTATTTTAATATATTCAAATTTTTATTACTTATATGTATGGGTGTTTTGTTTGTATGCTTGTCCATGTGCCATGTGTGTGCCTGGTATCTATGGTGGCCAGAAGAGGAGTGATAGATGGCTGTGACTTGCCATGTGGGTGCCGGGAATTGAACCCAGGTCCTCTAGAAGAGTAGACAGTGCTCTCAACCATGGAGCCATCTCTCTAGCACCCTAATATTTTTTGTTATGTGTGTCTGTGCATGTGAGTTCAGGTGCCTCTATAGGCTAGAGGTGTGAGACCCCCCCTGGAGTTAAAGCTGGTTGTGGGATGCCTGAGGTGGGTGCTGGGAATTGAACTTGGGTCCTCTGGAAGAGCAACATGTGCTCTTAACCGTGGAGCCATTTCCTCAGTCTCTGGATTTTTTTTTAAGTGTCTTGCTATATAGTTGAGGTTAGCCTTACACTCTAGATCCTCTCGCGTCCACTGCTTTAGTACTGGGGCCACAGTTGTGCGACCCCT